CTCCACCACAGCGAGAAGTCCGCCATGACGGCGGCAGGCCCCGCTCTGCCATCAAAAGCTGAGTGTTTCTAGTCCTCACTGACTGAAAAAGGCTACAAATCTGTGTCCATGTCAGTGAGGGCCCTAAATGCATCTTCTCTCCTGCTTGCCTACCAGGCCGAGCTGCAGGAGGAGATGACAGCCTCACCCTCTTCGGCTGTGTGGGATGAAGTTTGCGTGGTCACTGACCTCTGCTTACGCCTGCACAGGTGCACGGTCCAAGCTTCAGGGAGAGCCATGGCCCTGATGGTCGCGCAGGAGAGAGCCAGGTGGCTTAATCTCTCCAGCCTGTCCCAAAAAGAGAAGGCCCAACTCGTCGACGTCCCTGTGGACCCGAAGGGCCTCTTTGGACTGGCTGTGGCCACCATGCAAAGACGGTGTGAGGAGAAGAAAAAGGAGGGGGAAGCGCTTCAACTGTGCCTGCCCAGAAAGATGCCACCCCCTCCTCCTGCAGCTCCCAGGCAGACGTTCGCCCAGGGTGTAACCTGGCCAGGTTACCGCATCCTTAGGCGTCAGCCTCAAGCTCAGGTGGCAGCCCAGAGAATACCGCCGGAGCCGAAAGGCTCATGGGCTAAGAAGCCTTTTGCCTAAAGGCATAAATGTGACGCAGGGGACCCAGTCGACCACTGAAGCCACTCACGGGGGCAAGAAAAAACGGCGAGCCAACTAGGACGCTGCCCACAGAGGGGAATGCTGGGCCCAGCCAGACTCCCGCCATTCCCCCTCTAGAAAAGTTTCTGTTCCGGCCTAGTTCAGAGAGGCCGTGTTCTGGGCTCCTGAAGAGACACGCAGACGCCGCCTTGGCGCTCGCGGTCCAAAGCAACCCGAAGTTGAGGAAGGTCGGCCCTGCAGAGAGCCCTGCAAAGACCCTGTGTTACAAGGGCACACAGCAGTACCCCGAAACACACACCCTCCCCCCCTTTTCATTAATAAAGTTGTTATCCACTGCGCATCCAGGTCCAGAACCAAGGGCGCAGACTGGATCATTAATGAAAACAAAAACATCAGTCCGCTGGGTCTCCGGAACGGACTGAATATCGCGGCCACGGCACTCAATGTGTGGCCCCGTACGTCAGCTGGACCACTGTTGGGTCCACTAGCGGAGCGGGCCCAGCAGTGGCGCACGTGTGTGACATCGGATTGGGAATTAAAAACCGTAACCAAGGGTTACTGGCTCCAGTTTGAGTCCACACCGCCCAGATTCACCAGAGTCCTGGAATCACGGGCGCAAGGGGACAAAGCTCGCATATTGCAGGAAGAGATAAACTCCCTGCTAAACAAAGGAGCAGTCCAGATAGTACCGTCAGAAGATAGACAAAACGGTTTCTATTCAAAGTACTTCTCGGTCACAAAGAAAGGCGGTGGCCTGCGTCCCATATTAGACCTGCGTGCACTGAACAGATACCTGAGATGGTACAAGTTCAGGATGCTGGCGCACATGGCCCTGCTACGATTTGTACGCCGGGGCGATTGGTTTGTGTCCATCGACCTGAAAGACGCGTACTTTCATATCCCTATTTATCCCCTTTGCCTTTCAAGGCACAACGTACGAGAATATGGTCCTCACATTAGGCCTTTCGCTAAGCCCGAAGGTGTTTGTAAAATGCACCGAGGCGGCAATTGCGCCACTGAGGGAAGGGGGAATGCATTTGGATACGTACATAGATTACTGGCTTCTGGCAGCTCAGTCGCAACAACAAACCCTGGCTCATACCAGACTGCTCATGTCACATCTGGCTACTTTGGGTTTTACGGTGAACTGGGAGAAGAGTGTTCTGAATTCCACTCAGAACATCAAGTTCATCGGTCTGTCCCTGGACTCGACCGCTTTCAGAGCGCGTCTGTCAGCGGAGAGGGTTGAAGCTTTTCAGGCATGCCTAGCACTCTTTCGAAGAGGAAAAAGCTGAAATTCAGGACAGTCTCAGACTGCTCGGTCTGATGGCGTCAGCCCTGACAGTGGTTCCGTACGGCCGCCTGCACATGAGACCATTTCAGAGATGGCTGAACCCCTCACTCCACGGGCACCACCAGGTCCCAGTTTCCATGGCATGCACCCTGGCCCTGCGCCCTTTGAGGCGCAAGGCTTGTCTGGCCACAGGGGTCGCCATGGGAACCATCCTGGCCAGAAAAGTCATTATTACAGATGCTCCTCAATCAGGCTGGGGAACCACCTGCGAAGGCAGAATAGTAAATGGCACTTGGATCTCGCAAATGCAGTTACTTCAAATAAACTGCTTGGAGCTTCAAGCTGTATTACTGGCCCTGAAACATTTCCTGCCGCTGCTAAGAGGACAGTAAGTTCTGGTCAGGACCGACAATACCATGGTCGTGGAATATATCAACAGACAGGGCGGGCTGCGCTCGCATGGTCTGCACATGCTGGCACACAGACTGATAATGTGGAGCAGCTCCCACCTGTTGTCGCTGAGAGCCACTTACGTACCGGGCATATTGAACCTGGGAGCGGACTTGCTCTCCAGAGGCAACCCCCGTTACAAAGATTGGAAACTTCACAATGAAGTGGTTGCCCGGATTTTGAAGAAGTACGGCGAGGCGAGAGTAGATCTCTTTGCGTCAGAAGAGAATGCCCAATGTCTCCTGTTCTACTCCCTCACCGACTGGAACGTTCCGATGGGGCTGGATGCGTTGGCGCACGAGTGGCCTCACGTCCTCCTGTATGCTTTTCCCCCGTTAGAGCTGATTGCTCCTACTCTCGCCAGAGCACCCCGCTGGCAGGGGCAAGACTGGCTGGCGGATGTGTTTCCACTCCTATGCGGCCACCCCTGGCGTCTCCCTCTGCGGGCGGAGAGATATTTCATACTTATCCGGAACGCATGGCTCTATGGGCCTGGCCCGTGAAAGGTTGAATCTGGCCACTGCCTGGCTCCCGCCGAACGTCATTGCCACTATCTAGGGTAATAGAGCACCATTTACGCGCTCTGCTGACGGTGGTAGGTGGAGTGTCTTTGAGCGGTGGTGCATCAAAGCGGGGGTGCTGGCTTTTCAGAGCCCTGTGCCGGTCATCCCGACGTTCCTGCAGGAACTGCTGGACAATGGTTTGGCGTTCTCCACTGTCAAAGTGTACTTAGGCGCTATATCAGCGTGCCATGTGGGCTTTGGAGACAAAACGGCTGGCCAGCACCCGCTCGTTTGTCAGTTTATGAAAAGGGCATGACGCATGAGACCAGTGTCAAAGAATTTGGCCGCACCGTGGGATCTGTCCACGGTCCTGGATGCGTTGTTGGGCCCCCCCTTTGAGCCGTTGCTTCAGGTGGAGCTCAAAGTACTGTCTTTGAAGACAGCGCTGTTACTAGCACTGGCTTCGGTGAAGCGTGTGAGTGACATCCATGCGCTGTCAGTGAACCCAGCTTGTATGAGTTTTTTGACGGGGGATTCAAAGGTTCTGCTAAAACTTAACCCCGCATTTACGCCTAAGGTTTTGAACCCGGCAGTGCCATATCGTGCTATTGAGCTGTCGGCATTCTACCCTCCTCCGTTTTCATCCAAGGAGAACGAACGCACTCTGCCCTGTGTGCACCCTATGCTTCTACGTGGACAAGACAGCTGGGTTTAGAAAATCAGAACAGCTGTTTGTTTCATGGGCTGCGCTGCACTTGGGGAAGCCTCTTACGAAGCAGAGGTTGTCACGCTGGATCATGGAGGCTATTACCTTGGCCTATGAGAGCAAGGGACTCCCCAGGGCTGCATGCTCATTCGACTTGTGGGATGGCCGCGTCATGGGCACGGTTCCAAGGCGTTTCTGTTGAGGAAATATGTGAGGCCACTAGCTGGTCTACACCTCACACTTTCTCCAGGTTCTACAGTTTGGATGTTAAAGCACCCACACTGGCTCACAAAGTTCTTCACGTGGGTTCTGAAACAGGTATAGGGCTACCTGTGTGACCGTGGTTATCTTTTGATAACAGGTCCTTGAGGTATGTTTGTCTGCCAATATGGGAGTCTCTATATCCTATAGTGAGATACCGAAACAAATGTTGAAAGAGAACTTTAGGTTAAGAAATTAACCCTGGTTCTGAGACATGAGTGAGCTATCTCACCAGATCACCCTCCCTCCCTTGGAGCGAGGAAGAGGTGTTTTTTTTGCTCAGACTGAAGGGACAGCGTGATGCTCCAGCCTTATAGGAGGAAGAGGAGGACACTCCTCCTGGGAGCGAGCGTCACGTCTGTCGGCCAGTCAGGACTGGCGTAGTGGAAAAATTGCTTCTGGGGACAAGCGCAAGGGGCGTGTCCCATAGTGAGATACCTCACTCATGTTTCAGAGAACCGGGGTTAATTTCTTAACCTAAAGTTTTTTCACAGCAGCAGAACACGTCAGCAGACAAAGGGAATGTCTCATATGACTGACGGGTTTTTATTTTTCTTATTTTCATGCTGTTAATTTAGATTTTAGCATATTTTGGATGCTTTATTTGGAAGCGTGAGATAAACCAGAGAGACTAAGAGTACAGATATGACATTTACTGGTCACAGAAAAAGAAAATGACATTTAGAACGGCTGGTTCCTGCAGTCCTGTCGGCCCCATTAGTGAGTGGGCTGGCTTCCTCTGTACACAGTGAGGGGACTCTCACCTGATGGGTCTCACCTGGTGAGTGACTCTCACCTGATGGGTCTCACCTGATGGGTCTCACCTGGTGAGTGAGTCTCACCTGGTGAGTCTCATCCGGTCTGGTTGACAGACTGGAAGGACAGAGCCTTAACCACACCTCCACTGATGAGCTATTTGGTGGGTAAATCGGGTCCAGAGTGAGTTTTCAGTCCGTTCTCAGTAGCCGGTGAAGTCAGGTTTGAAGGTTTCCTGCTTTCTGTTCTGATAACGCTGTCATCTTTTTCAGTGAAACGCTCAGACTGAGTTATGTCAGGACAGTCACAGGAGGGACCAGCAGCCGGAGCAGACTCACATTAGAAAACATCTACACATCTGCCATGAAAGGCAGGTTAGTTCAATTCGCATCAAGTCTAGAAGACAGCACCTGAAACACTGGAAGGTAGTCAAACTTTATTCTTTGTGAAACAGAGTTCATCAGAGTTCACATAGAAAACGTGTTCACTGACCTGCAGTGCTCACGAGCTTTTGGATTCTAGTCTTTTGTGCAAAATCGGTCTTGTGGTGCATTACACAAACATATCTGTAGGCTGTATGGAAGCTGAGTGGGTGGAGGCAGAGAGAGGGACGGCGGTGTTAGCTCTAACCCGTCCCCAGCATCAGGAGGAGTCTGGACTTATGTCCCAACACACCAACCGGAGGCCAAAGCTTTAGCGCCATCAGCACCAAGACGGGGGGGGGCACCCTGAGCCCACTCACCAGTCACACAAAACAAACAAATGAACTGGTATGGTCCAAACACGTAGCTCTGCAGGTGTGTTATCTCCCATTACTTCCCACTTTATCTGTGGAACCCACCCAAACATTTACACATGGGCCCTAACCCTGTCTCTGGCTGAGCTAAGGCTACCAGCTACGCAGAGAAAAACACACCAGGTTAAGCTGACTACGGCCGGGGACACAATCCAAGTAGTGCAAGTCCCCAAAGCAGAGAGGAGCAGGAGCAGGAGTGTTGCTGAGCTCGTGTTCACATCCCCACTGCCCCCCCCTCCACAGTCTAGTCTCAGTTTAGCAGCCTCAGTACCGCTCTACTTTTTATCCTTCTCATGGACATTTCAAAGCTTTTTGGGTTCTTCTTAATAATACAAAATCATCTGGATAGAAACAGATGCTTCTTCACATTTCAGCTCTAAGATAAACTGAACAGGGTAATACTGCATGGAGGTACGGGTAATAGAACTCTACTTTCACACTAACATCATCTAATGAGAGGCAGAAGACCAAAGTTCAAAACAGAAGGCATGGACACCCAAACAGGAGCTCAGACGCAGCCGTTTTTGTTAAAAACAAACAACCAAAAAACTGCTGAATATTTTAGGAGTAGTACTTTTCTGAACTTTGGTCAGAAAGCTGGGAGAGTCTGTGTACGCCACCAAGCGGGAGCTGACCAGGATGGGTGAGCCCCTGCTGACCGGTGGGGACTCCAGCGGGCCGGCTGAGGGGAGGGGCTGCCGGGGGGGCTCTGACCTCCAGACGCGGGGCGCCAGGCTTCAGGACCCAGCTTTGGACTTTGGACACCACTCAGTATCGGGATACAGGAGGCAGTGGACCGTCTTAAACCTGTAGGGGAGAGGAGAGCTGGGCTAGCACAGTGCTGACCTCAGGGGGGGGTTGGGAGGGAGGGAGACCTCCAGGAGTGTGAAGGCTTTGAAACAGAGGCAGAGTTTGGACTGGACTGGCTGTTAGACCCTCACATCTAACTGGGACTCATTCTGGATACATTTCCAGATTTGCAGCCAGACCTGGAGCATCACGTCTCCCTCCAGTCCAGACTCCAGTTACTGCCCCCCACACACCCCCTTCACCGTTAGACCACAGCGACCAGAGAGGAGGTGGCCGGGTTCCAGAAGCTGAGAGCCTAACAGAGAGTGTGTGTGCTGGTTAGGTGCTGGTGTTTACCTGGTGGGGTCCTCAGCCAGCGAGAAGCCTCCCCCCACACTGACCACGTTTCTCCTGTTCTCCAGGCCTCCGTAACTGAGAGTCACCTGGTGAGAGCCCACACCCCAACACCCAGGATGAGCCTCCAGCAGCGACGCCCCCCCCCCCTCCCACTCCACACCCTCCCCCCACCATTCCGGCGGCTCACCCACCTGCTGGAGCACGGTGTCGGCGGGGAGCTTCTGCAGGTTCTCCAGGTGCGAGTGGAAGAGCAGGGTGTGGGTCAGGGGCACCTCCAGGAGCGCCTCGATGATGTAGCCGATGGTGCAGTCGTCCGGCAGCCGGATCTTCTCCGCCGTGCTGATGAAATTCCCCAAACTGGAAGCAGGAGGGATTCACTGGTTTAGACTCAGTGAAAACGAGGGATACCAAGAGAGTTAAAGCAGCAAAGGAAAAGCTGCTCTGTGAAGGTGGGAGGAGGAGAAGGAGGAGGCTGGGCCCCATAACACAGATGGACACACCCAAACACGCCAGAAAGTTTGGGATGCACCACTATGGACATGGGGACAAAGAAACTATGAAATGAGTAAATATGTGATAAGCTTTCCATCTGTTGTCCCAATGAAAATGCAAAAGAATGAACCAAACTGAATGAACCAGGAAGAACCATTACTAAATATAGTCCCTGGTGAACGTAGGAGGGCAGAGGGAGTAAAAGCAGCCATTAAAAGAAAAAGGAGTTTGTTTTCAGTAAATGAACACACTGTGCACTTTACCCAAAACCTAACACCTTAGAAGGTAAAGACAGCACCGATTCTACGCCTCAAGACTAAGGAAGTATCATTCAGTTCAGATTTTAAATCATTTTGAGTTTGCATTTTGAGTCACATAGACCCTGTTGTTCCCTGATGTCCGGTCATTTTCCAGCACAGCAAGAGATCCTCACACCAGGGAGAAATCGTCTCAAAAGGGGCAGAAGTCACACAGTGTACGCCTGGCTTCAGCCAGAATAGGCTCATTCAGCGCCTAAGAGCAGACCTACCTTGCCCATGGGCTCATTTTCAGAGCCAGTCCTCGGCTGATGCAGAAACCTGCGCCCCCTGTGGCAAACCAGAATTTAACAGACACCTGAAAGGAGATAAAAAGAAACCATCAGCCTGCTGCTTATGCTGAGGGATCTAAGCGGACCCACCACAGGCCCCCGTCTGAACCCTGAAACAGGTCCAGACCGCTTTAGGGTTCTGTGCTCGGTGGGGAACAGAGACCCCCCTTGTTCTATTTCTAATGGAAACAGAACAAGATACGAATGAGTGTGTGTGGTTGTTGGTCCTTGTGTGTCTCTGTGTGTCCCTGTGATGGACCGGGGACCGTCCAGGGTGAACCCATTGGCTACTGGGACCGGCTCCAGTCCCCCCCGACCCCATTAGGGAATAAGAGGCTCGATAAGGGATAGATGGATGAATTCATCTTTCCCTGAGAGGGACTGTACGTCTGAGGTGGATAAGCTGACTCACGGATCCGTCACTCTTCACCCTCTCACCCGCCTCTATAGGGTGGTCCAGACTGGGCCGGCCCAGGTAGATGTCTTGGGAATGGTGGTAGGAGGACAGCAGCCGGAGCAGGCTGGGCAGAATCACATAGTTGTCATCATCCACATGGCAGAACCACCTACAGGACATGGACACGTTAGCCTTTCCTCTGACCTGGAGCCCTCTGGAGCCCCCACAGCCCCTCCACCCGACCCCACCCAGCCACAGCCTAATCACAGCAAAGCCTTCTGCCAGGATTTCAGGGGATGGAACCCAGAAAGTGGGTCCTGCCCGGTTTGCCTGCACAGAGGCATGAACATCTATATCCTGTGTCCATGCTGATGTGGAGGGCGTCTCCAACAACAGCCCCACTGCTTCTCTGGCTCTACCAGGAACACCGGACTCACTTCTTCTGAGACTCGATGAACTTGTCATACTCCACAGACATCTTGCAGCACAGAGCCTGTCGGTTGTGAGCGGCTGAGCAGTTGGTGTTGATGATGATGGTTCCTGGAGCAGAGAAACAGCTGTAGTCACATGACCCTTTACAGGAGCACGCTGTGGGCTAGCACAGCTCCTTCCTACCTCAGTACCTCAGAAAGCCCCACTCAGTAGTCCAGAAATACACACGTGCCCCATGTTTGTGGGTCACTTTAAGAGCCTTCACTGGATACCTTAAGCCCTGTAATAACCATAACTCTTTGACCTGTAATCACTTTGAGAAGCCTCTGACTCTGAACACTCTCACATGCCTTCGGCTTTTTGCTGGTTGACATAAAGACAGAGTCCACAGACGCTGGATGCTTTTAATAAACTCCAGCCAAGTGGATAATGGGCATGAAATCAGTGCCATCTACAGCCTTTGTTTTGAACTCACTGCTCCTGAAATGTTAGGATACATGGTGCCAGCCCAGATTAGTACCCAATCAGCCGGGGAACACTGGTCTAAGCATTAAACTGAGAGACGAGCTACGGTCCTGTCAGGCACCTGCTGTTTACAGTAAGCTGGCAGATGCTTTTCTAAATGCTAACAGTGTCTGAGTACGCTGTAGATAAAGGTGTCCAGTAAAGTAGAGCTTCTTACCCGTTCTGCTCTGCAGCTCCTTGTCTTCCCCATCTGTGAATATGTAGGTCTGTGAACAGACCAAGACACGTGCAAGGCAAGTTTAGTTGCAGAGAACTGTCTGTTCGCATGGTCAAAGAAAGCTCTTTACAGCTACCAAATCACCAAAGGAAAACAAATGCATTGGAAAATATTCATTCTTTCATTTAAGTGACAGTGAAGCGTGCAGATCAAATACTGCCAGCTGCCATCTGCTCTCACATGAGTCCAGCATTGCCCCTGGACTTCTACCATGAATACTGTGCTCTAGGGCCTGACAGGAAGCATCACACACATCATAGACAGGAGAAAGTGTCAGCTGCTGGTGTCAGACTTTTTCCAGGACTTTTCCTAAAAATGGCAGGTTTGATATCAGGTGTTCAGTTCTGAATTCTCCTCTAGAGGCTCAGACACAGCACCCTTTAAGGCCTTTGGAAATGGTCTGATACAGAAACCAAAAAGAACACATGCCATCACAACTTTCAGGAAACAGAGAGAAGTCCAACCATCGTTGTACAATGAACATGGAATATGTAAAGAAATGTTCTTATGGGATGGTTCATTAGTGGCATGTCATCCCTACTTAATCTCATTTCCCTCCACTAACGTTAGGATAAGTGAGCATATTGACAAACCTGATTCAACCAGACTGTTGGGATTACCCTGTGTTTAGTTTGGTGAGCCAAATTGGAAAAAGAACAAATCTACAGAATACCTGCTGCATTTAAAGACTGGTTATGTTTAGGTGTGAAAGGGAAGAGTTCACCAGATCTGAGCAGAGTGGGAAGCTGTGACCTCCAGATGAGCTCTAACCTCAGGTGGACATGGAGCCCCCACATCCGTTACAGACAAATTGGTGCTATTGCCTGTAACCCTACAGTTCAAATGTTACTGGTCCTGGAGCAGTAAAAGGACAGCATGAGGCCTCATGCCTCACAGTACCTGAGCAAAGAGGAAGCAGCTGCTAGCCCATTTACCCAGTTATCTCCCACCACAGCATGCAGCTGGAGGGGGGGGGGTAAAGGTTAGCCCTGTGTGCAGAGGTAGTGAGAAAGGGGCTCCATAACTGTGTGAAACACAGCTGGTCTCACTCTGTTCTGTGTTCATCCACGTAGACCCTGTGAGGGGGACATTTAGGATTCAGATGCTGTGTGAGGTCCGTGTGTTTAACACTGAGCAGCTCATGACTCTATACCTGAGCTCTCCTCCCTCAGTAAACCCGTACACCCCCACAAAACATCAGAAAACAGCAAAGAGGCTTCAAAAAGCTTTTAAAGAGGAGAGTTAAATGGCTTCTGTCCAGTGCCAACTCCTGACCAGACAGATGTTTGAATCTTTGGAGGCTTAGATGTGAGCTGGGGGGTTTCGGGTGTTTGGAGGGCTGTGTTTGAGTGTGTGTCCACTGTGTGGACAGGGTTAATGTGAGGTCTTACAGCAGGGGAGTCCAAATCCAGCCCTCAGGGGCCTTTGCTCTGTTTGACATGTTTCCCAGCGTCCACACCCCATTCGGACTGGATGGATGCATTCAAAGGGCTGTCCTTCTCTCAGCCCCCCTCCTATTGGCACTGGGCTTGTCCTGATCCGATATCTGGATCGGCCGCCGATATTTGAAACCAAACTGCGTATGGGCCGGCAGCAGAAAACACCGATCCAGACTCCAGATCCAGTTTTATTTTAAAGTCCGATCCCACATTAGCATTAGCATCTGTAACCACAGGTCTGTGTCCTAACCATTAAGTTGTTATCAGAGTAAATCCCTGTTCAACACTAAGTATGTAGATAAAGAACTTTAGACTTTAGTACAGGCTCTGATAGGCCGGGATCGAATCAGAAGTGAACAAAAAGCTGGATTAGGACGTCCCTAATTGGCACACTACTGTGGAGCTGGAGCGGGACACGTCTAAAACCTGCATGGCCCTTATACCCCCCCCCCCAGCAATCTTCACCTGCTGCTTGGCTTGGGACACCCAGGTCTGGATCAGCAGCTCCAGTCTGGACTTGTGGTACTTCCTGGTGGTCTTCACTGCTATGAAAATGTCCTTCAGCTCCAGCAGCTCCGCCGTCCTGAAGTTTGAAACGGGGCTGTCCCCCTGTCCTGGGCCCCCCCCTGGCTGGGCTCTGGGCTGTCCAGCGCTGGTCCTGGGGGGTCCCGTTTGCCCCCCTGTGGCTGAGTCTGGACCCCCAGAGGCTGCTGGGACCAGGGTGTGGCAGGTTGCTGGGGCAGGTCTGAGCTGGGCCCGGGGCGGGGCCCGGGGCCGGGGCGGGGGCCGCTCCACCCGGCAGCGGGTGGGGTTGAGGGCCGGGATGAGCAGGAGGAGCAGGCAGCAGAAGGCCACAGCAAAGAGGAAGCAGAGCTTGCTGACGGCGACTGAGGCGATGTGCATCCTGACGGGTCATCAGCCTCCAGGGCCGCGGCGGCCTCCAGCAGCCCCCTGTCCCATCCTCAGGCCATCACACGGAGCCCTGAAAACACACAACCAGGAAGCTGAACCAGAGTCAGAAATAAACCAGGAGAGGCTGAGCTTCAGCTCCATGCTCTTAAAACCTGGATCAGTCTTCCTGAATACGTGAGACAGAACCCGACTCTGGATGTTTAAACCCAGATGAAAACATCTGCTTAACTGAGCTGATGGAAACTGGATGGATTTATCTGCACCCTTCACTTTTTATCTGTCCAATTGTTCATTCTTTTCTTGTTTTTCTGCTTTTAAATTCTTTGTGAAGCACTCAGAACATGAAATGTGGCGTACAGATAAACCTGCCCTGCCTCATTCCTCTGGACGGGGACAGGCGCCTCACAACATTTCAGAGAATAATGATGCAAAGCATTTACTCATACCAGTACTTATGTCCTAAACTGTCCCAGTACATTAAACTGAAACGAGTTCTGCATCTTCCTGTCATTTCGTTTGTTTTTCAGCAGATAAACAGAGAGGTGAACCGTATCAGGGTCACATGGGACCAGCCGGCCCAGAGGCCTGGCCTTCAGGGACACGTCCCCCCAGCCGGAGCCCACTTCTCACGGCCTCAGAGGACCAGCTACGTGGGGGCTCAGAAGGGCTATTAGTCTGACCAACATGTGTCCGCTCAGAAAAGCCTCTTCCACAGACGACGGGCCGCAGAACGACTCCGGACGTGTCATTTCCGGCTCCCTTTAAATGGCGATGGGGAGGCGGAGTGGGGAGCACCGAGCTCCCCGGCTACGAGCCGCCTGGAGCCCCACGTTTGTCTGGTGTCTGACCCCCAGCCACGGACCCAGAGAGGTTCAGCTAACAAAGACCCAACAGCCCAGCTCACCATTAACCGCTGCTGGCTACGAACCCAGGCTCTCAGAGGAAACGAGCAGCAGCTTTTCCCGGTTTTCAGCCTGAACCGGACCCAGCGCGCGGGCCGGGGTCTGCCTTTGTGTCCCTGCGTGGCTCCGGAGGGTCCGGTAGCTCCGGTGGATTGGGGTCGGTCCACCACGGTTGGGGGGTCCAGTGGGTCCAGGTCGGTCCGTCTCGGTTGGGGGTCCGGTGGTTCCGGTGAGTCTGGGTCGGTCCGCCTCGGTTGGGGGTCCGGTGGTTCCTGGCGGTCCGGTAGTTCCGGGGCGGTCCGGTAGTTCCGGGTCGGTCCGGTGGTTCCGGGTCGGTCCGGTGGTTCCGGTGGGTCCCGGTCGGCTCCTTCAGCACTGGGACGGGGGGGTATTAGCTGCTATGGGCTCCGCCATAGGGCTCCGCGTGCCATTCTCATGAACTCAGTTTTTCACCAAGTTGTTTGGTGGTTGTTGTAAGCCAACGGCTGACCAAAGCATATCCGGTGACATTTTTCAAAACAAAGGAGTAAAACTTAACAAACAACAGTATTTGCTTTCGAGTTTCTGGTCCAACAGCATGTTCAGATTACACGGGGTCTTGGTTCCCGTTTTTCAACCAGGAAGTTTAAAAAAAAGCTCGTTTTAACAAACATGCAGTATTAAATGGCCCTTTTTAGTGGCGTGAAAGCTAACCAGAGATCATCGCTGGTGATTGGCTGAAGGTGTTGGCCCTTCAGAATAAAGCGCTGACTTCCGGTTGTTCGCTCTCTTTGTAATGAAGCCATGTAGTGAGGAAAGACAGGAGTAAGTTACCATCCCAAGCGTCCTGATTAGGATCTTCTAATTATTTGTTGATATAGGCACATTTAATGCTAAATATTAAACAAGATTGATAACACCGATTTCTAAACGGTGACAACAATGCATCATGTCATACTAATTACTTATGACTGGAATGCTCAACTAAAGGACAAAAACCAAAGCAAGGGGAGCAGATATAAAAAGTACAGCAACGGGCTTAGCCAGAGCAACTCCCTGAGGAACTCCACCAGTTAGTGGGGCCTCGTCAGAAGAACAACCATCAAGGTGGGCTCAAACACTTCTGCCAGATAAACCATTAAGCATTCAACCCTTTTTTCACTTTATCAGCTGATGGTTCAAAAGGCAGCTGTTAGATTAAATACATATCAGGAGAAGTATCCTGAATCTACCGTTTGGAAAACAATTTTATTTTAAGGACAACATTTTTTCAGGAATAAAAAAAATAAGGGGTGGAACTGAAATACAAAGGCCAGAAGAACTTAATTAAAAAAGTTTTAAAGCCTTTTTAAATGAAGGCTTTAAAACTTCAGGCAGTTTAAACATAACTTTAAACAAAACCAGAGTGTAGTGTTTCAGAGAGACTATTTGTGGCTCCTAAAAGTTGAACCATCCTGGTTATAGAAGACCGAATAATGGACTTGAACTGCCTCAAAGCATATATGAGAAATTGAAATATTATCATTAGATATGTGTAATAAGGGATGGAGGTGAGCAGTTTTCCCAATAAATCATTTGAGGAAAGAACTGTAGAGGGCAGCGGCTATTAGGATTTGTGTTTATTAAAAATCCTAAATAGGAACTTTTAAAACGGTAAAAGACCATAAATAAAAGTAGTCTTTTCAGACTTGACAGCTTTAAGGTAGCTAACAGACATTTCTGTGGGGTGATGGTGAATTCAGAATTCTTGCCCAATGTGGTAAAATTCAGGTCATTTGACAGGAAGTTGTTTAAATGGTCTTTGAATGTTAAAGATTCAACACTTCTGTCTTTACATGCAGAAGGCTAACACGACTTTGGCTGATTAAATAGAGAAATACGCCACATTGTTCCATTCATGAATTTTGACGTTTTGCTTTCAAACATTAAGGAGCTGTTCTTAAAGTACATTCAATCTGCACCAGATTTCAAATGTTGGATTACAAACTGCTTTATTAGGGCTGGGAGCCCAGCAGCATCACATGTGATGTCTGGGTTAGACTAAATGTCGAACCTGTCATACCCACTGAGGCCTTTTGGATAACTTTACTCACAGGAAGACTAAACGCAGCGGCTTCAGGAGCTGCAGGTACAGGGAAACCCCAGAAGCTGGCTCATCCCCCAGAACACGCGGGACCTGGCTAATGGGACACTTTTCCTGTGGGGTCATCTGGAAAATCGTTTTCTATAAAAAAAAAAGTCCAGCAGATTTGTCCTCACAACTGTTTAAACTCAGCTTTACAAAGTAGTACAACAGTCTGTCACAGATGACCCCAGATCAAACTCCAGTCACTTCATGGGGCCAAATCCAGCCAGCTAGTGGTCCTCTGACGTCCCCTTCAGGCTGGACCTCTGCTTCTTCTGGTCCATCTGGCCCATGACTCGGTACAGCTTTTTCTTTGCCTCCTTCTGTCTCTTCAGTTTGGCCTCCTCCTGCTTCTCCTTCTGCTGGAGGAACTCCTTGTGCTTGGCATGCTGCAGGGAGCGGGCCTTTTTCCTCCTGTCGTTGTGGACGGTGGTCAGAGCGTGGAGCAGGGCTGCCACCTGTCAAAGAAACACCAGCTTTAGCTCCACTTTAAGCTCACTTTCACCAAACAAACAACCAACTGGCTCCTGGTTCAATAGTTTGACATCTGAACAGAAACATGGGGTGTTTTGGGGTTTTTTTAACCACAGAGGCTTCTTTAAACAGCAGGCATCTGCCCCCAGCTGCATGCCCCCCCCCAATGAGCTGTGGGAACTCCTGGGGTTGTGCTGACCTTCCTCTCTTGGGACTCTCGGATCACGCTGGCCCTCTGGAGGTCTCTGGGCGTCTTGCCCTTGGCCTGCTGCTGTTTGGGTTTGCTCTTGAAGGGGAGGGCCTTCTGGAGCTCCTTGGGGATGTGCAGGGGGTTGAAGCGCCGCTGGGCCCGGCTCACCGGCTGGAGGGGAAATGAGTGTGCGTTTAGTGGAAGAGCTCCTCATATTACGGAGGACAGGGAGATGAGAGACGACTCCAAACTAATTCCCTCCAAAGCCCCCCCTCTGCACAGCAGCTGGAGCAGCTCTGCCCCCCCCTACCTTGTACAGAGAGTCAGCGTTGGGCTTGTTGCGGACTCCCAGGTCGTGTTTGAGCTGGCCCACGGTCCTCATGCCTGACCAGCCGTCCTTGTGGCCCGGAGGCAGGAGCAGGGAGGTGACGGGGTTGTAGAGCTGGGGCACAGCCACCGGGTACCAGGAGCGCAGGAACACGATGTCTGCACAGAACAGCACACACAGCCTCCACCTTTACCACAGCCCCTCCTCCTCACGAGGCCAGGGCCTCCACAGCTAGAGCTCCTCAGGGGGAGGCTGAGCCCCAGCTGAACGTTTTACAGCTTCAGGTGGCTGACAACGGTAAACTAACCACTGGAGGTTTCCCTGTGTGGTCCAGTACCCACAGAGACTCCCATGAAAGGGAGGGCTGTTTTACAGGCTGCTTTGTCCACAGATACTGTTGCAATACCTCACATGACCAACAGGACATGAGCTCCTAACGCTCTGATAACAGCCTGTTTCCACAAACAGTATGATCAGAAATCATTTCACCAGCAGAACAAAGTAAAAACATCCAATCTGCCCATCTACTAAAGTTATGCTGGTACACTCACAACAAACAAACAAAAACAAAGGAACCACTCATTCCGTTTGCCTTCACCATCAAACTAGTAACCTCTGAAGAAATTTGATAAAGGGTGTGAACAACAGCATCCCTTCCCTACCTACGGATACACAGGAAGTGTTCATCTCCCCTACGAAACCATTAAAGCATCCAGCAGAGCTCAGGAAAACATTCTGTAGGCCACAAGTAGATGCTGAGCTCCTGGGGCCTCAGGCACAGTTTGGCCTCAAAACACCACCAGCTAGTCTCTAAGGTCACAGAAAAAGTTCCCACTGGCAAGCAGCAGGGTGAACTCACCACTCATGAGCAGGCGGTCCTCAAACGTGGCCCTGTAGGCCCCCAGTGGAGTGGAGAGGGCCTTCTTGATTTGGCCCCTGATTCCTGACACGGTTCGGATGGAAGCGCCCTCAAACTTAGCGACCTCCAGCACACTGTTGAACATGCCCTGTCAACACACGGAGACCTGGACGTCAGCCTGCTGACCAGCAGGGACTCTGACCAGCAGGGACTCTGACCAGCAGGGACTCTGACCAGCAGAGACTCTGACCAGCAGAGTCCCTGATAGCGGCTGATGGAACGCAGCCTCTCACCTTGATAAAGGAGGTATTCTTGAAGATTTTGTAAGGGTAACCAATAAGCTTCAGCTTCTTGACCACAGTCACAGACTTATCCAGATCCAGGACCACTCCTGTGGCCGCGATGCGGAATTTAGCCTGCAGACAGGAACACACACACACACACACACACACACACTGATGATCAGATCTGTGGAGGGTCAGATCCAGGGCCCGTTAGTAGTGTGGAATAAGCTGAATGAGTAACATCCTGTTTAGAGCCCCTATGCTTCTGCTGTTGATGCTTCCAGTGGTACTGCCTGACCACTGGTTCACATCCTTACCAAACCCCCTCATCACTAAAACTCTACAGCAGGCTTTTTGGGATGCTCTAGACAGTTTTCCCACTCCAGCTGGGATTTATCAGCCCAGGAGCTGTGAGTGTGTCCTCCTGGATGAGTAGCTGACTTACATTAGCTCCCGTTACAGACTGCACAGCCAGGAATCCGGTTCCCTGTGGTGTGATGGGCCCTGTAGGGGGGGGGACACAGTCAGGAGAGCAATCAGAAATCACAGCACAGCCAGCAAACGTCTCACTTTTTTAGTCTAACTGAGCCCTCTACTCCTCAGACGTCTATGCCCAACGTGAATATCAGTGGGATCTAAAACCCCAAACGCTTTAACTACAAAAACATTGGCTTTCCCACACCAGTTCCTCTAAAGAGCAAAACTAAAGTTGGCATTTTAAGCCACAATCCATGCTGAAAATCAGAGCTCTTTATGTTTTACCAGCTGTACTGATCTGGATAGTTCCTGTGCATGAAGCCACAGTTTCCGGGGCCCTGCCTGGCTTCAGGCCAGAGCCAGAGGAGGCTCCATCTATCCTGACCACTAGCAGGGACTCCAGAGCCTCTGGGAGTCCAGCTAAAGTGGATGCAGTTACTTTAAATCCTGTGCGTGCTTTTTAAACTGGACCTAAAGCCTGGTTGGCCCAGAGAGCAGCCCTGCATGTGTCTGATGAGAGGTGGGCCTGCCGGGTGCTCTCACCCCAGATGGAGGCCCCGCAGTGCATGTGCTGGGGCGTGTATTTGAGCAGGCGGTGCCGCCCGTTGTGGTCCTCGATGTGGTAGAGAGGGATGGTCTGGAAGCGCCGCCAGCCCAAGGACAGGATGAGGGGGTCCCGGGTCTTCAGAATGCGGTCGTACCACCTGTGCTTCTTCAGCCGCATCTGCCAACACAGAGAGGGAGGACCCTGAGCTCCAGGCCCAGGCCCAGATGTGGCACGCACAACCCGGGCTAGCTTCCCACCCCGTTGATGGGCCCTGTACTGAACAACAACCCCATTCTGTGGGAGGAACACTGGCTGAGAGCATCTGGCTGGGAAAAGCTGACTGGGCTGGTCCTGATCCCATATCTGGATCAGATCGACCGCCGATGTTTGCAAAAAAAAAAAGCGTAATAAAAAAGTCTGATCTGTGTTTTCCAATGTCAGCTGTGTGGGATTATTTGATCCTTAAGGAGAAAAAGAGGAAGAGCTGGATGTAAAACAGAGTTCTGATGCTGAGTAAACAGACTATTTTCTATTCAGGTTGTTTGTGTGTTTTGCCTTTTTAATACAGTTTACAATATTATCGTCACTTTTTACTGCTCTCTGATGCCATTTCCATTTTATAATTTGGTCTATTTAGTGTTTGTCCCTGAATAAACAGGTCAGTGTCTCTTTACCAACCAGTGTGTGTTATTCAGACTCCCCTAATTCAGCTGGATAGTTGTTATCAGAGTAAATCCCAGTTCAACAGGAGTCTGAAAACTAAGGAAGTAGATAAATAACCTTAGACTTTAATACATGATCTGATAGGCCGGGATCTGTATCAAACAGCTGGATGGGGACGTCCCTACTGCCCACCGGTGCCCAACATTTCCCCAGTAATAGGGGGGGTCAGGGTTGTGGTCGGGGCCACACACCTGCAGGTATCCGATGTTGCCTTCGCTGGAGCCCAGGCCTCCCAGGATGACCGGATAACAGGGCTCAAAGTTGGTCACAAACTCGCAGGGTAGAGAGGAGATTTCTACTCTGACGTACATCCCAGGCCGGAAGCCCTCATACTGCACCCGGGTCTCGTCCTCCATGTCCTCAAACTCAGCCCTGTTGAGCTGCGGGCAGAACCAGACAGAGGTCCCGTTAGCACCCAGCAGCCCCCACCAGGGGGGGGGGCAGAGGGGAAGAGCCCACCTCAGCCTGCTTCTGCATCTCTTCTTTCAGGTCATCGAAGTAGGTGGCGTCGCCGTCGTCGTACTCCGTGTTGAACCGCTCCTTCAGCTTACGTTTCTTCTCCAAGCGCTTCTTCTTCTGCACCTCATCATCGTCCAGCTTCACCTCGACCTCCTCCTCCTCCTCCTCGTCCGAGTCATCGTTCTGCAGATCGAGAAACAGCTAATGAGGACACAAGCCAGGACCTGGACATGCTAACCATGAGTCAGCACATCAGGAACTTCCTGTTTGTCCTCTGTGAACAACGGCCTAGTTTCTCCCCCTTAGACAGAGGGACGGCTTTACCTGGGCTATGCTGGTTTCACCCTCAGGGTCCCAGAGCAAAATATCCTGATTTAAACATCAGTGAAATGTGTTACTGCAGTTGTTATGGTAACAAATTCCCCTTCCAGATTCAGCTCAGCCCACCTAAACAAGCAGGACTGAGCCCCGTGCTGGCTGTTCACTAAGTCTGCAGGCTCACAGGAGAACGTTTATATCCAGCCTAAATGCCTCACTAAGCTAGGTACCAGAACCACAGCCCTGGAGCCACAGCCCTGGAGCCACAGCCCTGGAGCCACA